GCGGTGCTGGGGAAGGAGCTCTGCGAGCAAGGGCACGGTGCCCGCTGCTGCCTTATGTAACCTGCGGCGCTGCCGCTCGCTGCGCTTCATCGGCGAGTTCTGTGCCGGTGACCGATTCAGGACGTGCCTCGGCTCCCTCTGGCTCGCTTTGAGCCCGCTCCTCCCGTCTCTCCTTGCAGAACACCATGGCCACTCTCAAGGACAAGCTGATCTCCTCGGTCGCTGCGGGAGCCACAGTCCCGAACAACAAGATCACTGTTGTAGGGGTTGGCCAGGTTGGGATGGCCTGTGCTGTCAGCATCCTTGGAAAGGTAGGGCTCAAGGACAACGTGTTCTTCCAGCTCCCACTGCTGTATTGTTCTGCACTGCCTGTTTGCCTTAGCAAATGGTGGGAAATTCGGTAGGTTAGTACAGGAATGAATCGTTTGCAGTTGGTGTAAGCAAGCTGTGACCTACAAGGGTGACCTCCCCATTCAGCTTCTCCTTGTTGTCTCACCTTTCTGTCTGTGCATAGCAATAAATCTCTCATTAGGTGGAGTTATTTTGCAGGCTGCTGGGAAAACCTAGTGAGCAATGGCTCTCAAACCCCTGCCAAACTTTTCTTTCTCCTTTTAATGTTCTTAGTCGTCAACAACAAATTTACCTTGTGATAGAGGTCTGGGAAAATAGTGTGGATGGAGCAGAAATCTGTGTGAAAGACGGGCTAGGAATCAAACCTATGCATGTTTCTGTCTTAATATTTTAAGGCATATGTGCTGTAACAACTGAAAATACTGCTGTTCTCTTCAGTAGTCTTTATTTCTCTAGAACCCTTTTTGCTTGCTTATATAACTTTATTTTTTTCCAGAGAGGTTTTATCTAGAATTTCAAAACCAAAGATAGAGGGCTGAACTTAAAGGCTATTCTGACTTTTGCTGTTACTAGTTAATGGGATTATTTTTTTCTTTATTTTTTTGGCAAATCTTATGTTGCAATCTGAGCAAATTAAGGGCTTATTATGCAATAAGGCTCTCTTTTACTTTGCACTTTAAAAAAGAGAATGTTGTGAATGAATTCAGTTTGATTCTTGTGCAAGTTTTGGGAGCTGCAGATCTTTATTTTTAAAAGAAGGTGTTAGCAGATATGCCCCACCCACTGGCAGGGCCTGGTCTTAAATCAGATTGCTCACAGTCAAAAATCTTACAGCTGGTTTAGTAGTACATGTGTTTTATACAGAGATGATCCTTCTACCTGTTACCTTGAGGATGCTTGTTTTAAAGTACTGGGGGTTTAATTATTAAAAAATACTTTCAGATCTTTCACTTGCTGATATTCATGAGCCCTGGGAGCAAGGCAAAACTCAGTAAGAAAAGGCCGCAGTGAAACTGATGTGAAAGTAGCAAATAGTTTTTGAAACAGCATAACTAAAGGAGAAATTTAATGGAAAGCAGTGACAATTCATCGTGGTGTTTATATTTTTTTAGCAAGTGTTTACCTCTCATAGTCTGAACTCATTTGCTTTTGAAGAAGTACTGCAAGCTGTAAGGCTGGCAGTGAGGGAGACAGGTGACATTACCACACACTGCACTACAATCCAGCACTCATCTGTGTTTAATGTGCTGCTCTAAGCAGAATTAAATTGTGCTTTCAGATACCTAAGCCCTAAGTTTTACTATTAATGAGTTATATGCACCAAACCCAGGGTAAAAACTGGGGTTAAAATTTTCAAGCATGGAATTTAGTTCAACCAGGCTACATCTCCTATTCCCCCACAAGTACAAGCTACAGTGTATTTACTTTTATAGCAAACCCATCTGATTCTTAAAACTGAATTAAAAAATAATCATTTAGGTTGGAAAAGACCTCTAAGGTCGTTGAGATTAAGCATTCTGTCCACCACTGCACCATATCCCCCAGTGCCACATCTACAGGTCTTTTAAACACTTCCAGGAATGGTGACCCAACCACTTTCTCTGAGCAGCCTGTTCCAATGCCTGACCATCCTACAGTGAGGAAAGTTTTACTCATATCCAACCTAAACCTCCCCTGGTGCAACTTGAGGCCATTTCCTCTTGTCCTGTTGCAACTGGGATTAGAGGCTGACCCTCACCTGGCTACAACGTCCTGTCAGAGAGTTGCAGGGAGTGATACGATCTCCCCTGAGCCTCCTTTTCTCTGGACTAAACGTCTCCATGGGGCTCCCTCAGCCTCTCCTCACAGGGCTTGTGCTCCAGATCCTTCCCCAGCTCTGTTGCCCTTCTCTGGACACACTCCAGCACCTCAATGTCCTTCTTGCAGTGAGGGCCCCAAAACTGGACACAGTACTCGAGGTGTGAGCTCACCAGTGCTGAGTACAGAGGGACAATCACTTGCCTAGTCCTACTGGCCACACTGTTGCTGATACAAGTCAGGATACCATAGGCCCTCTTACCCACCTGGGCACATGGCTGGCTCATGTTCAGCTTCTGTCAGTCAGTATGATGTGACTTTGAGTTGTGCAGGATGGTTGACTCTAATGCTAATTTCATTTTACTGGTGTAGTATGTAATATATAAATTTGCATGACCCTAAAAATTCCATGTTGGTTATTTTTAGCACCATCCCAGTTAGAGACAAGTCACTGATGTTGCCGTACTGATTTAGAAATGGAAACATCTCCACAGTCACAAATGAGCTCCTTTGAAAGAGAGTATTTTGAGCTGCACTTGGTGACTGTGTAAACTTCATTCCTGTGTGTGCTAATAATGAGCTGAATTCTCTAGGCAAGCGATGAAATTCATGAAATTAGTCATTGTAGCTATTCCAGGTGCTCTTCTGTTCCAGTGAGAACTGGCTCTTGGAACCTGCAGTCTGGGGAATATTGGTTACAAGGCACAGACTGTGAGTCCCATGTTGTCAGGCTATGTATAGATCTGTCCATAATTGCACATATGTGCACATCCTTTTTTCAAATTCTGATTGCATTGACTTAGTTTAACACCAGTGACTTCAGTTAAGAATACTTGTTCATAGTGTTTAAACAACTGAGGCATTAATTTTACACTGCAGGCTATTTTGAGAATAGAGCAAGTACAGATAAAGATTCTTATGTTTTTCCTTCAACAGTTTTATCAAATCAGCTGCTAAAGAAAGCAGTGCAGAAAAGCAATAAACTAACATTTTAAAGTATGAAATAAAAACCTTAAATATGCCTGCTGTTAAATATATTTTTCCACAAGAAAATCAGTGCATATTGTTTCATGATTCAAGTACTTTAGCACATAAAAATGACTTAACTGCTTTCAAATGGGGTGTAGACATCTAGGAAAATAGAAGTCATTTGAATTTCTGTATAACTTATTGCATAGGACTTTAAGGATAGGGAAATTTAAACGGGTAGTAAACATTTCTGTCAGAAGGCAATAAAGCTTTGCATTAGAGCAGGATGTCTTTATCCTCCACCCCTGCATTTCAGTGTGTTCTTCCTTTGAGACTGTATGACATTCTCCTAACTTAACCTGGCTGACAACAAGCACACATGGCTAAATCTGTTCTGCAGAGTAAATATAGTAGCTCCAGTAGAGAAAAATAGCTAAAGAATCTGTTTTCTCTTGATTTTAGTATTGAGGAAAATAAGTTTGGTCCCTTGGTATATTTTTGTGAAATGAATTGGTGGAAGGCTTGTTAAAAACAAATGCTTATTTGATAATTATGTGGTGTTTTCTTTTAGATATTTAAATATTTAAAACAGGCTTATTTACTGGGTAGATTCAGAGGGTTTGTTCCAAGTCTGAAAGATGCAACTTTTTTCCAAAGATAGTGACTAAATCATGAGGTACCCTCCTAGCAAAGGGTTAGCTGTGCACTCAAACTCCCCTCAAATAATATGTTTTTTGGGAAGTCTGAATGAGTTTTATGAACCTGTGCTGTAGTCGCCTCTGACTTTGTTACTGTGAGGTACATCAGAACACCAAGAGTGCTGTCCCACTGCTTTACCTTTGGAGAAGAGATGCTGTCAGATGGGTGTAACATGTTACTTTAAAATGTGTTATAGCTCACCTCATGGGCATCTTTAAAATGCAAGTGAACTGCTTCACTGACTCCAAATGTTGTTGTTTTCAGGGTCTTTGTGATGAGCTTGCTCTGGTTGATGTTTTGGAGGACAAACTAAAAGGAGAAATGATGGATCTCCAGCACGGGAGCTTGTTCCTTCACACTCATAAGATTGTGGCAGACAAAGGTGAACCTTAGTTTCTTCTGTTTAACACTGATATTCTGTGAATTTGCTGAATAGTGGAGCATTAGTTGTGTAATCCTAAAGAACTCTTAATGATTGGCATTGAAAAATTGAAGTATGAATTGGGGTGAGGTTTCAGATGAACAACATACTTTCAATCCAGGCTTTCTTTTAATAGCCACTTCACAGTTTGGGGCTTGTTGAGTAAAATTGATCTTAATGAAGCTCTAGTACATCTTTGATGTAGAAGAAATTGAATTATTTGGGTGGTGGAAATGAGATTCAGAGAGGTTGAAGGTCCTCTCAAAACCCATATATTTACAGTGTTACGAGATGGTCCTGGCGCTTAGGTTGATGTCTCATGGTTTTGGGTTTGAATGTAATGCATAATAATACCTGTATGAACACAGTACTATTGAAATTGGTGATAAATGTAACACATTCTGTACCTTCTACCCCATGCTCTGGTGCAGATTATGCTGTCACAGCCAACTCCAAGATTGTGGTAGTAACTGCAGGGGTTCGTCAGCAAGAGGGGGAGAGTCGTCTCAACCTGGTCCAGAGGAATGTGAATGTCTTCAAATTCATCATTCCTCAGGTTGTCAAGTACAGCCCCAACTGCACCATACTGGTGGTTTCCAACCCAGGTAAGGCAAACTTTTCCTAGAACACTTAAAAATTCTGTTTGATAAAATGAAATATCAATGAGTTTTCAGGCAGTCTTTTTAAATACAAATTGAATGTTGAAAATTTTTGTGGAGGTCTGCCATGTAGTTGCTAACAACAGAACACAAAAATCCTGTACTTTCTGATGTTCTGTTTATTCAGAACTTCTCATGGTGCCTGTAATTTAAAAGAATGCCTCATGGTAAATACTTCAGTTCTTTACATACTTGGCTTAAGCAGTAGGTAGTGTGAAATTTTTGTCTCTAAAGGATAACTTTTGTGACTGGATAGGATATGGCCATTTTTCAGGATGAAGAACTTGCCCTATATTCTTGGCTTTTTCAGGAAAAAGAATTTTCAGGAAAAATATTTTTTCAGGAAAAAGTGTTTGCATGGTGAAGCCTATGGTGGGAGAAGGAATAACACAACTACACGGTTCAGTTAGATTAGAAAAGACCTAACTGATTACACATATTTGTGTGCTTACTTGCAAGCATCTCATTGCATTGAGACAGCTTGGATATTTGGACGTCTCAAGCTGACTGTAACCAATCTGATGTGCTTTGTAGGGTGTCCCTGTAGGGCTGCCTTTGCTTGATTTAACATCTGAGTGAAGCCCTTACTACAGAACCCTGGTGATGAAGTGACACTGCTTTTAAAGATAACTTGACAGAGTGGAAACACTGCATGTAAAGCTAGCAGCTCAGCTGGGGGTTGAGTAATTAGCTGGTGTACAGTTAGTACTACTGAATACCAGTGTTCTGAGCAAGTGGCTACTGTGCAAATACAATGACTTATGGCAGTTTTAAACACTTATCTAAAATCAGACTGAGACAAAGATCAGACTGTTCCTGTTCTACCAAGGCTTGATTCAATCTATGGACTTCTCTCCAGCAGAGCAATGCAGGAGGAGAATTGCATGTTGCTTTTTCAGAGTTATTTTTATAATGCTTTGTTTTCTCATGTGTGGAGTTTTGTCCACTAGTATTTACATAGTGAGAGTTACTGTGAGCCCATTAGAAGGGACTTCAGGGGTGTTTGTGTGTAACCTTGATGTCATTCCCTGGATCTGTCTGGACTCTAGCTCAGATAGCACTGCCCTGTGGAAAGCCCTACTGTGGCAAACAATGAGATTAGAAAGCAGAGCTCAAAGTCTTGGATGTGTCTCAGGACATGACTTGAGAGCCAGACTTGTCTGGAGCTGATTGATATGGAGGTGCTCTGTAGTCTGAATTGTTGCTGTGATCCTGGCAGGAACTGCCCCAGCTGGAGCTGAAGGGAAGCTATATCTGATGAGCATGCCAGCAAGGTGTGAACTGTGCTGAGATGACGTACTTTTAGTGCCTGAGCAGAGCAAATGATGTATTTCAGATCTGCATACATGGTTGTATTCTCTCCTGAGAACTGGCTGGCTTTTGAGAGCTGGAATCATAATTATTGCAGTCTGTTTATTATTGGTGCTTTGAGCGGTGGATTAGAGGTTTTTCTCCCTGATCACATCCTTCTGTCTGCCCTACCTAGCTTTGTTCTTTTTCTAAAACTATTTTTAGAGACACATGCAGCTAAAGCATATTCTCTTCTGGCTTTTCATGCTGCAGAGGTAGTAAATGCAGAAACTGCTCAGTGCACAAACTAAGAAATTAAACTGAAGTAATTGCCAGCTAGAAAGGGTATGTAAATCTCAGACTTCGTGGTAAATTGTTTTATGTGTTGTTGTGAACTGGAAGGCAACATTACTTGGGGGAAATTGCTTGAGTGTTTTAGCCACATGAGATCAGTCCCAGTTCTGGATGTCCTAGGGGTTTAACTGTGACAAAATAGTGTGTCCAACTTTAGCTTTAGGAATCTAATCTCCAAAGACCTCCCTCAAATTTTCTTAGCTTTCAAGCTGCTGTTCAAAATTTAAAGCAATGTATTGAAATAGACCCAAAATACTTTGACCAATGAGCACAACAGTGTTTTGAATCCTCCTGACTGCCCTACTACTTGCAGTAAAGTAATAGTTGGACCATTCTCAGTGTGAGTGGTTTCATTTACTGTGCATGTGTTTCTTTTCAGTGGATATATTAACCTATGTCACATGGAAGCTGAGTGGCCTGCCAAAACACCGTGTGATTGGAAGTGGTTGCAATCTAGACACAGCCAGATTTCGCTATCTGATGTCTGAGAGGCTTGGTATCCATCCAAGCAGCTGCCATGGCTGGATCTTGGGAGAACATGGTGATTCCAGTGGTAAGGAACAGTTCTGACCTCCTTGGGAATAAATAATACAATGGTAGAGGTTGAGACCTAAGGGGTGTTAGAAAATTCTGATGGAGCAGGTGCAGCTGAGCTCGAATCACTGGCACTTAGCTGTATTTTTATGAAGATTAAAGTTGAGACAAATTAAGGAAATGTTGTTACGCATTTTTGGTAAATGTGATTGTGGCTGTATGATTAAACTTTTACCTGAAAAGGTGAATTTTGTGAGCTAAAGTTGTGTCCTAAAAGCTACAGCTAACTACTTCTGTCCTCAGTTTTTGGAGCCTGTAGCACAGTTCTATGAAAGCAGTATCAGCTCTTGTTAGGTCATTGGCAGAGCTTGTTGCAGGTAACAGAAAGCCATTTTCTCTTTTAACCAGCATGGAGAAAAGTCTCAAAATAAGACAAGGGATAAATTTTGTTAGCCTGACTCTGGATTGATAGAGTTTTAAAACCATGTGAAATGAAATATGCTAATCTGTCTTAAATCAGTTAATGTACTTCAAGGCTGGAATGATGCAGCAGAACATCTGTGTAGATTAGTAGTGCTTTATATTTTTGTGCTGTGTATTTCTAAGGGACACATCTTCAATGTCCCATTGCATTTGATCAAAGTACAGTGTCTGATCAACAGCAGTGGTTACTGTCCCCAGCTCTACACTGATGAAAGCAGAGTTTGGCTGAGCATAGACAGAGCTCATCCTGCATCAGTTACAGCTGCTTTTGCTTTGAACTAACTCAGATCTGAGTTGAGTCACAGGAAAAGAGACTGAGCCTGCTGTAAGTTTCCAATATGAACAGAGAGGTGAAAATTCCTCTCTTGATACTCCTAAGTTTGCATACTGCTACCCTCATATTGAGGGAAATGAAGACTAGAACTCTTGAAGGCTAACTGTAATACTGATTAGCAAGACAGCAAATACATCCTTGCTGCATTTTTTGATTAAAATTAGTTCTAATAGGCTGAACAGCTAAAATGTGCCTTTGAGGTTTGGCTTCTGGAGTGGCTGTCTGCACCTTCCAAGGTCAGAAGTTCTGCTGTTCACGTGTTATCATTGAGTTCTTGAAGTGCCAGTACTAAAATAGTCTCATATTTGACCCCCAGAGTTCTCAGAACTAAGTGTAGCTAAATTGAAACTTTAAAATCTGCATTATCGTGCTTCTGGCTGGTTGTTTACAGTTATTTTAGATCAGAAAAGTGAAGGGGAGTTGCAAAGTGTGATTGAAACTTATGTCCTTCCTCTCTTACAGTGGCTGTTTGGAGCGGAGTTAATGTGGCAGGTGTTTGCCTCCAGGAGCTGAATCCTGCCATGGGAACTGACAAAGATGCTGAGAACTGGAAGGAGGTCCACAAGCAAGTGGTTGACAGGTATGATGACTTGAGGGATAACATGGATATGTGATGCTGAAGATGACTTGAGGAATAAGGTCAATATATGTAAGCCTGAAAATAGCATGTCTGCACACTCCTGTTCTGCTGCAGCTGTCATGCCCTTTGTTTAGAGGGTTGCATGAGTAAGTGGAACTGGTGGTTTAAACACAAAAATGCAGGATTTAAGTTGGTAAGCTTTATTATCCTGCAGTAAGACAAGCTGTTGCATAACATACCCACTTAGAGCCTTGGGCACTTATTTTCTCACAAGTAACTTCTTAAATGGTTAACTTCATTGAAAGAGCACAAGATTAGGAAGAGGTATTTTGTTTCTGTGAGCAGAGTATTGGAATTGGGGAAAATTTTGTTCATAGATGCAGGAAAATTTGTGTACAGGCTACTACATGTTGCTAAATCACTTGTCTCACTTGTGAAATGAGGACATGAAATGAGTGTATACTATATCGGTATAAAGTGTAAGCAGGTGTTGGCTAAAAAGGTCAGGATGTGTGTATAGGTAGTGCATGGCTTGGACTCTAAATATTTGCCTATTCCAGATACACTCTGAGTGATTGTGCCACTGACTTAAACTGAGAACTTGTTTGGTTGTAGGATGGTTTTCTGTTTAACACTGAGAACTCTTCTTAGATGAAAGCTATTTTTCTTTTCAGCTAATCCTGTGGGAACAAGGGAATAGTGCAGACCTTATGCTTTATCCTCTAATGCTGAAACATTGAACTCTCCTATTTTGACATTTTAATTCCCAAACTTAGTGTGTGCAGGAGTTTTGAAATTTTTTAAATGGGAAGCATTCACTCATCTTAAGATTTGTAATTCACACAGTGTCTTGAAGACATCTTAATGCAGCTGAATTTCAATGTTTCCTTAGTGCCTATGAGGTGATCAAACTGAAGGGATACACAAACTGGGCTATTGGCCTTAGTGTTGCTGACCTCTGTGAGACCATGCTGAAGAACTTGTACCGGATTCATTCAGTCTCAACACTGGTAAAGGTAAGAAGCAGTGACTTATTGCATGTCCTAGTCATTTTGTTGTTAAGGAAAAGCTAACCAGTCTCAATTAGCAAGGTGCTAAACAAAGGAAGCTTTGTAAAATATTAACCTGGATTTAAAGTGAGAGCTTTACACATACTTTCTAGTCTGGCCTCTGAGCCTACTCTTCTCACAAGTAAGGTGCTGAAAAGTTCTCTGTAGTCTACTACCATTGTAGAAGTTTGCTATGTGTGGCATGCAGATTCATTAAAGGAAATTTTGGACTCAAAATGGAAAACTTCATGGAGTTCCAGCTGTGATTCGATGAACCACTGCCTAGCAAACATGCTAGGGAGGAGAGCTGTGTACTTTTATAGCTGGTGTAACTGGCTGCAGCTAGTCTGTGCCAGCTGTGTAACCTCTGGTGCAGCAAGGACTCTGAGCAGGCTGAACTTTCTGCTCCCTCTAGCGGAAAAGGTCTGCCCTAAGCCTGTGTCTGAATCTTGCCAGCTACTTGCTGTATATAAATAAAAGTCAGGAGTTTGGAGGTGTTTTCTGCAATCAGCCGTCTTGGTACTGCAGTCGTTTGATCTAAAACTACTCTGTGCTGTTTGTTTTCTCCAATGCATTGTGGCTGAAAATTTCCTGCAGGATGCAAAATGATGGTTTTGATCTCTGCTCTCATGAGGCTTAGGGCTATTTAAAGTAAACACAGATCTGAGGAGATGTATTCTTGTCTGAGTGATCTCTCCTGTTTGTGGCAGGGCATGTATGGCATTGAGAATGATGTCTTCTTGAGCCTTCCTGCTATCCTAAGTGCCTCTGGACTGACAAGTGTCATCAACCAAAAGCTGAAGGATGATGAGGTGACTCAGCTGAAGAAGAGTGCAGATACGTTGTGGAGCATCCAGAAAGATCTCAAAGATCTGTAACCCATGAATGTTAGATTCCAGCAATAGAGAAACAGCATGTGTGCAGATGTGGGCTCCACTCACTATACGTCTCTATGGTTAACATTAAATGCTCTTCCAGATGCTTGCTGTTACGCACAAACCTGACGAACAAATAAAGCAATTTTCAGGCATGTTTTGTTGTCCTAGTGACTAATTGTCAATGTATAATTATCTAGCTTACTCTGGCATTCTCTTTGCCACAGACTACATGGAAGTGTAGACTTGACATGTCCTTTTAAAAGCTTGGAAACACTGTGTTAATGGTGAAATCCCACCATTGCACACCGCCTTACTAGAAGCCTTTTCTCAGTCCAGGTGCTGACTAAGTGTAGTTCATCCCCAGACTTGTTCCTAGTAGAGTACTTCCTACTTCTTTACTGATGGGTAGAGGAAATGCAATGAGGATTTGCCTTTGTGCCACCTGCCAAAAATATGCCAACATTAAGATTCTGTATGCTACTGGCCTAGAAAGAGTCCTGTAGATCCTTTTCTCTTCTTGATTAAATTATATGCCTATTAATGGTATCTACTTTTAATAATGTTTAGAACAAACAAGATTATTTTCTATTTGATTACAAAAGTCCAAGAGTTTTTTTTTTTAAAGACTAGCCTCAGGGTATTCTTTATCGAACAAATTGGGTATTTGATCTCCAAATTTCAGCATGATTGTTTAAGTGTTTATGTACTTGGAGGAGAGAACAGATTTTTTTAAAAAAAACTGTGAAGTTTATTTCTTAATCACTTACAATTATGGCTATTAACAATAAAGAGCCAATACTTGCTTGGCATGCCTGGAACTGCTCAGCCTGAATGTCCAGGGGACAGAGAGCAGACTGTCAAATTCGTCTGTCTTGTATCATAATTCAGGGGCCTGCAAGTCTTGTTTCATAACCAGTGTTCTGAGACTAAGAGCAATTTAAAGCTCTTTTCTATCTCTATTAAAATGCTTTGGATTGTGCACTAAAACACTTTTATAAGCAAGTAGCTTAATTTCTGTAGCTTTTTAAAAGAAAAGATCATGCAAATCTTGCCATATTGCATGATAACTTCTGTGATTTAGTAAGTATCATGTAGTTAGTGAAACATTGTGCATGGGATTCTGCCAACAGCATTATGTACAAAGGGTATCCCAGAGAGGCTTTACATGTTTTATCCTCAGTCACAGCATAAATACCAGACTTTGCCACTAGGAGGGGGGAAAATCATAGTCTCTGCTTTCATAACTTGGTGTGGAGATCTTACTTGGAAGGCTTTTCACACCTGCTTAGATTAGCTTAGGTTCCTGCTAAAATGTGTTTATATCAGCTGCCATGTAAATTGCATGAGCTGCTGCACTTCGCAGGATGCAACCATTGGGAATATTCACCTGAGCACATTTAATACAGGTACTGTACATAGTTCCTTCCTGGCTTTGTTCTTGCACTATTCTCACCTAATGAGCTATGTGTGTTACATCATTCTCCAAACTTGAAATGTTTCATAGCCTCTTCTCCCTCCTGACCATTTCACAGGATTACTGTACAGCCAGACACCACCTAACTGGAAGGAACAGTTCTCCATTGTGAAATTTGGGGCATTTTTTGGTGTTGCACAAAGGAGGAGTAAAGGCCATTGCTTCACAGCTGGAATGATCTGAACTTGCTGAGGTCAGACAGGCAATTAGGGCTGTCCCTAGATTGTTTCTGAACACCTCCCTGATCTTCTGTAAACTGCAATGACAAAACAACACAGACACTGGAGAGCTTGTGTTAATACCATCAGTGCCACCTACTGCTCTGTATCTAAAGTACAGTGTGTGTACATCAGTAACTGCTACAAATCATTGTCATTTTCTCCCCTAAAATTTGACTCAATATCTAGGAGCATTTTTAACATCTGTCTTATTTCTTCCCTGCTGTTAATGTAGGCAAACCTTGAAACCACAGAGCTGTTTAGAGCAAGCCAGACATAGAAAATTATTGTCCAAACAGTCCTTGAGCTCTGTCAGGCTTGGGGCCATGACCACTGCCCTGGGGAGCTGTTACAGTGTCCAAACACCCTCTAGGGGAAGAAGCTTTTCCTAATATCCAACCTAAACCTCTCTGACACAGCTTCAGGCCATTCCCTTGGGTCCTGTCACTTGTCACCAGAAAGATCAGTGCTGCTCCTCCACTTCCCCTCATGAGGAAGTTGTATACAGCGATGAGGTCTCCCCTCAGTCTCTTCTCCAGGCTGAACAAGCCAAGTGACCTCAGCCACTCTTCATATGGCTTCCCCTCCAGACCTTTCACTATCTTTGTAGCTCATTATCTCATTGTAAACTCCTACACATTGAGATTACATCCTAGGAGGTTACAGTGCCTAAAAGTTTTAGGTAGGTCACAATGCACAGCACTGTCCCTGCATTGCTATCTCCAGAGAACTGTAGGAAATTTGGGGAAAACATTCTGTGCATCTCTCTTCAAAGACATTGCAAATTCAGTCTTCTTACTGTATCCTTGAAAGCTAAATTATTTCACTTCTGTGGGCTGAAAAAGAATTTGGTGGGGTAACAGTTGATGTCTGACAGAATTGCAGCACAATGAATAATGCGTTACCAAAGGGCATTTGTGTAGCTGAGTGATAACAGCAGTGTGAGAACATAGGCCAGACTCAAAACCAGTTTCACTGGTTCCCAGCTTTCTGGAAAATATTTTAAAAACTACTATTTTTGGTACATATCCATCTTCCCACTTCAGCAGTTGTCCTCTAGTTTTGTGAAAAAGGAACATAGTCATAGTCACGACCTTTCCCTGCCTCTGTGACAAAAATGACACATCATTTTACTGTCAACAGTGTCCCTTTCACCAGCTGCACCTCACTACACTTCACATGGAGGACAGCTAATGGTTGCCCTTCTTAATGTCAGAACACAGCTTTTCTCCTACAGAGGTTTTATTTTGCTGTAGGTGCACAGGTACATGTATGACCTCCTTTATGGCAGTAAACCTAGATAACTCCAGGTGCACCACAGATATCCCACAAGTTAATCCTTGCAGGCCATAAATATAATGAATGGGACCCTTTGCCCTCTAGCAATTAAGAGCATTCACAGGGATGAAAGTTTCTGGACTGTCTGTTGGAGTTAGCCTTTCTTAGGCACTTCATATGCTTTTCCCTCACTGACAACAAAAAGAGGAATTTGGGATGGCACTGTGTGAAAAAGCCCTTTGAGGACATGCAGATTGGGTAAAGTGAAAGGTACTCAGAATAGAAATAAATTCTAATGTTCATAGTGCTATTGAGCACTTTTTCTCAGTTAAAAAAACCCATGAGTATTATCTCCAACCTGCAAAAGGTGAGTTATGTAAGTTGCCCAAGTTCACCCAATGGTGGCATTGCCAGTGCTTGAGAAATTATCTTGTGGCATCTGATGGTTCTGTCAAACTCATTCAGCAAGGTTTAAGGAGTGACATCATTTTTTGTCAAATTCAAAAAAATAAAAGAAGTATCCTCTCACTACAAACAGAAGCTGGAAAAACGTGACCCCCAAGAACCTGAAAACCACAGACTTTATAAGGAGCTTAGAAGTTTTGTCATTACAACTTCAGTTCATTGTTGTGCAATTATTTGCATGTTTTTGAGGCTTTTGAATGCTTAGGGACAGTGGTATGTCAGTGAACCAGTACCACTGGAATCACTACTAGAGGTTTGCTTTAGAGGGATGGAACACCTCTCCCATGAGGAAAGGCTGAGAGAGCTGGGAATGTTCAACCTGGAGAAGGCTCTGGGGTGACTTTATTATGGCTTTTCAGTACGTGAAGAGGACCACAAGATAGCTGGAGAAGGACTTTACCCAAGGACATGTAGTGATAGGACAAGGGGCGGCAAGGGCTTCAAGCTGAAAGGCACTGGCACAGGTTGCCCAGAGAAGCTGTGGCTACCCCATCCCTGGAAATGTCAAGGCCAGAATGGATGGAACTCTGAGCAACCTGGTCTGGTGGGAAGTGTCCCTCCCCATGGGAAGGGGATGGGACTAGATGATCTTTAAGGTCCTTTCCAACTCAAGCCATTCTGTGATTATGATTCTACAGTCCCTGGAGAGGTAAGTAGTGTGCACAGTTTGACTTCAGCACCTTGAAAGCTTTTTGAAGGACTGCAGACCACAGTGGTATTCAGCCAGCAGTGACAACTGGGCCCACACACCCACAAAACCATCTGATTTCCCACTGGGATGCTGCAGCTCGCATTATTTACTCATAATGGGTGTGGTCAAGCACAAATTCCTCTGGTGGGGCTCTCGTTTTTGCTAAACAATGTTTAATATGTACCACCTAACCCCATAGGTGAGATACCCAGTGCCTTGCCCTGCAGCCATGGGCAGAGGGATGAGGTGGTCTGACACACAGCTGCAGGGCAGGTGTTGTGGTTTAACCCCAGCAGCCACCAAACACCACACAGCTGCTCACACACTCCTCCACCTATGGGACGGGGGAGAGAATCAGAGGGGTAAAAGCTAGAAAAACTCATGGATTGAGATAAAGACCGTTTAATAGAAAAAAGCAAAAGCTGCACACACAAGCAAAGCAAAACAAGGAAATAATTCAGAGCTTCCCATGGGCAGGAGGTGTTCAGGACCTCCAGGAGACCAGGGCCCATCACACATAATAGTTACTTGGGAATACAAACACCATCACTCCAAATGTCCCTTCCTTCCTCCTTCTTCCTCCCACTTTATATACTGAGCATGATGTCGTATGGTGTGGAATATCCCTTTGGTCAGTTTGGGTCACCTGTCCCAGCTGTGTGTCCTCCCAGTCTCCCATGCACCCCCAACATCCTTGCCAGAGTGGCAGTGTGGGAAGCAGAAAAGGTCTTGGCTCTGTGTAAGCTCTGCTCAGTGATAACAAAATCATCTCTACATTATCAACCCTGTGTTCTGCACAGATAGCCCCAAGCTAGCCACTGTGAAGAAAGTTAACTCCACTCCAGCCCAAACCAGCACAGCAGGACAGAGGCAGAGGGACCTGGCAGGGTGGGAAGCAGCCCCTGCACTCTGGGATGTGGTGCTGTCAGTGGGGCAGGCTGAGGGTTCACCACTCCCACTGTCTCCTTCAAATCGCCAGGCTTTGCTGTGGATTTGTTAACACAGGGCTGAGGGATTGGGACAGACTGGGCTGCTTTCTTCTTTGCTGTGCACTTCTCACCTGAGATGGCCTTTGTGAGCCTGACAACTTTCAGCCTCATCCCCAGGGTGGGTGTGCAGGGAAAAGTGTGAAAATGCGGCTCAGGCAGATCTGATGTTCAGAAACAAAGCGAGCCTTAAAATATGACTGTTGTTACTTTTAAATAGCATGGGGTTTAACCTATAAGATGATCTGGTTTCCTACCAACTCCAGGTAGGAAAAGCCACAGCTGCTGCAAAAATAAGGATTCTTGGCCAGGCTTCTTTTTTTTCATAAACTGGTAAATAGGGCAACTCAAATCACTGAGATAAAATGACACCCAGCCAATAAACCCCTGATTCCTTCCCTGGACAGGCTCCTAACCTGGAAGGGAAACCTCCTTCCCTGACAACCAGCCCAGCCTGTGTGTGAAGTGGTGTGGAGCCGTGAGCCTGCTGCCAGCTCCAGGGGCTCTTTTCTGAGGCAGCTCTAGTTCTTAACTTGGCAGAAAAGTTTTCTGCATCCTTAGCTTGGCTTGGTGAGGTGTATCCATCAGCTCAGGGATGGGTCTGACTGCTGTAAGTGCAGTGGGAAGTGCATGGGAAGTGGAAGAGCAAGTCTTTCGGGGGATGGTTAGTCATTAAGGTAGGCTCAGCTCTATCATGCATTATGTATTATGTCTGTATTATGACTTCTATGCAGATGGGCTGCTTGTCTCCTAAACCAATTGCCTTGGACTTGTTTTGTCTTAGGTGAGCTCAGAGCCTTTCCCTCTTTGCCTGCTGGTGCAATGTTACTCTCCACAGTGCCAGAGATGTCCTGGATCTCACCTGGAGATTTGCTCACTGCTGAACTGGGAGTTTTGGGCAGGTTGTGACCCAAGCTCAGAATCAGATTCAGTTTACACAGCTGTCCCAGAAGCACTGGCTTCTCAACCAGATGTGTAAGCACATAAACATCTTCCAAACAGGCAGCTGCTCTGTGGAGCTAAGGAGATCTCAAGTTGCGAGTTAGGGACCAACATCTCTGCAGATGTGCATGCATTGCTTGCAGTATCCCAGCTCTGTGCTGGGGCTTACAGTGCCCTGACATAGTACTCACCAAGTTCCCTGGGTGGAGAACATGGGTCCAGAAGCCAGAAAAGAGCTGGTGGCACAGAAAAAGAGAAACCAGGTGGAAAACCAGGCACCAGGAGTGCAAGGAGGGGCAAAGTGCGTGCCAAAGTAGGGACAGAGGCTTTGTAGCTCTGTTTGTAAAAGCTGGCAGGGCTGCAGAGCCCTGGGAAGACAGCTGGAGATAATTGTGGAGGAAGGATATGAGGTAAACTAGTGCTTACAGACTGATGAACTGCAAAAGAATAGGTAACAGCATTTAGCCTGACAAGTAATTTAAGAGACAGCATGTAGAATGAATCTACTCTAACCTGGTTGGTGTGTGGCCAGCAGATAGAGAAGCTCCATGGGTGCTACTGGGAGGTGTATCTCGAGGGGAGGACTCAGGGGTTGGACTCAAATCAGGTGGTGAACTCAAAGTGTCCTCCCTGTTGGAGTTTGCTCAGGGTGGTGCTGGATTTACAACTGTCCAGTTTCAGTTGTCCCTGAGGTGGTGGTAGGTAGTGAATGCTGTGACTGAGGAGCTCAAAACCAGTTTTTACCTACTTCTAAGAGAAGAAAAAGAAAGAGCTCTGGCCCCAAAACCATCAAGACCTCTCTCAGGTCAGCCTTAAATTCTTACCTCTACCAGCAGCTGCTTCTCAAGCCCTGAGGATTTCACTGAGCCAATTTAATGCTGGTGGTCAGACAGTTTAAACCCATTAGCTCCCAGCTATCTGAATAATTTTCTCCTTGGATCCCAGCACACTGCCAGACTGCTCTAACCAGAACTGCAGAGAATTGCCACCTTATCTGGACCTTTTGCTAACTGCTGCAGCCTGTGTGGTAGGCACTCAAGAGCTGAAGAAAATGCCACTGGCCCGATCGCTGTCCATGACTTCTCTTAATGGGCTTCCCCAGTGGGAGGATGAAGACCTGCCAGTGGAGGATTTGCTGCTCTTTGAAGTGTCTTGGGAAGTTACCAACAAAGGTTTGTACAACACTTGGGAGTTAGTATCACTGTTTTCACAGGAGTGGAGGGAGGAATGAAGGGCTTGGACAAGAGAGACACTAAAGAGGAGACTGGAGAAAAGTGAGCTGCAGGGTTGCTGTGTTGGAGGAAGTGCATGTGGCATCCCTGTGTAATCATGGATGCAGTGTGTGGCTGCACCTGCCTGTGCTTGTGTGGGATGAGCTTAGAGTAGGGTTGTCTGTGTGTCTTTATGTTTCACCACCAGGGTGAGGTGGATTAAACATCTAAGTGATAAGTCTGGGCATGCAGATAGATATGGATGTATAGGTGTTACTTTGTACATATGTATGTTTTACCTTCCATGCAAATTCAATTCAGACTGTAATGCCTGAACATGAACTGTAAAACGTATCAGAGTCAGAGCAGTTTAGCAGTCTCCCTCAGCCTTCTAGAGCAGCAGGGAGAAGAGGCCAAGCTTGGAAGGGGTATAAATAAACATAGCTGTATTGCAGCCACTGAACAAAACCCAGATGTCAATGACCAGCAGCCTTTGTGCCAGCTGAAACTCTTCTGGACTGGTCTTTGCAAACACTGATGGTGCCAATCAGGGACTTGATTTGTTCATGGCATGCAACTTGTCAGGCACAGGGCACACTGCTTGTTAGGCAAAGATCTTCCTGCCTCCATTTCCAATTCACTCATCCAATCATCCCCTTTCAGGTAGGTGTAGCTTGCCAAGGGGAAACAGATTCTGTTTCCACCACAAAAGCTGAATTAGTATGAGTAAATGATTGACCTCATGTGTATTATTGTCCTGGCAGATAGATAGAGATTAGTCAGGAGAGGGGATCTGTTAAGATTTAAACTTTCAGGGGGAAATATATGTGAGAGGAACAGACAATGCAAGGGTTAATCCCCATGGTGAAACTGGAATTGCTATTCTGTGATAACTTCTGGTATTTAATCTGCAATGCAGTGCAATTTTACGTTGCTTTGTTAGAGAGTAGTATCAATTCACAGAGGTAGTACAGAGTAGCTTTTGCACTTTGAATCTCTTTGGGCTTATTTTTCAGTAGCTTCAGTCAAGCTTTTCGAATTAGGTTACGCAGAACTTGGAGCATGCAGCATTTACTTTTGCAGTGTGCATGATAAGTAAGGCTCTGGCAAGCAGATGGCAGCAGAAATCTAGGAAATTTAGATATTCTCACTAACATCTCTAAACTACATAATAGAGATATTTTTTTCTGAGTCCTCTGGACCCAGTGGTTGTAGATATTACACAATATGTTTAAGAAAAAGTAAACCAACTAGATTTATCTGTCTTCCTTTGTGTGTACAAAATGTAGTGAATCATTTAATCATCCATATAGCTCTTGCTGACTTTGCTGAAGCCAAATCAACTGACACAGCTAAAATTTACTATTCTGACATTTTATGAGAGAATTAATACTCATGAGTGAATATTTATTCAGATAGTTAAAAAAGAAGGTGCCTTTAATTACATCACTTACCAAACCCTTATATTCAAATGGGCCTGGAGGAACTAGTCATGCAAAACAATTTCTTCTCTAGAATTGGATCTCTGTGCAAAGTTTGCATTAACCAACCTTGACTGGAAACATCTGTGCAAAAACTCTTTAATAAGTCTGTTTCAACCTATTTTTCTGGCAAATTCTTGATACTGAGGGGTTTTAGTCAATATCTTTCAGGCAATTGAATGTCTAAGTTATGTGGTGAGATACTGTTCTCTAGTGACCTAACTTTTATTAACAGTTCTTGAAAACTGTTAGAGCCCTGTGTTTCTTAGGAGAGAGAAGCCAACAAGATACAGAGAGAGTCATCACAGAAGATGCATAGGCTTAGGAAATAATAGCTGCACTGTAGATTTCCCACCTCCATAAGCAGGAGGAATTGTTTGATGAGGTAAGCTGACCCCACATAGATTTAGTACTGCTGCATAGTTTAGTGTTAGTGTTGCTGTATATGTTCCTAATATAGAGGGAAAGGCAAGCATTAGCTGATTTCATTGCTTGACAAGCCCATGTTGAAGATTTTAATATGAAAGTTTCTCTCTTCCTTTCTGGCAATGTAAAGGTGTGGCAGAGTAGTTCAGTGTGAAGTTGGTTTGTACTGCCAAAGTGGTGTAAAGCTGCTGCTGCCCACAGGAGATTGTTCAAGTGTTTGTGTTAACATTGTGTGCATCACTAGGTTCTTGGCTTCTGGACTATTTCCTTGTTGGCCAGTGCTGTTTCTTAGTAGTTGCTGCATTTATTTTGTGGCAATGACACCAAGGCTGAATGTCTTCTTCCCTGTGAGGAACATGCTACCAGAGCTCACAGGTGGATATCCATTCCCACACCTGTAAACAGTGCCCTTACATGTGCTGAGCTCAACCTCTTAAATATATTCTTCCTCAGAGTCTGAGGATGATGAAGGTGTCCTGCAAATCAGAGCATATCTGATAATGTAGTGTGAGAAGGTCTTCATGTGCCAAGCTGCACATGGGGAGCAAGTGTTCCCTGGGATTTCCCTGATGGTGCTGGTTGGTACTGAGGCATGGGATGCAGCTGTAGGGAAGAACAAGTCAGTTATATAAATTCAGTGCTCAGAGATCTAAAAGTATCCATTATTTTCAAAGTCTCATGACTTCTTAGCAGCTGGAACAGTGAAGGCCTCTCCTTTTCTTAGTCTAGATCATTTAACACATGCTCTAGTAAGGCAGAGCTTTCTACTTCTCCATCCTTCCTTTTTATCTTCTCTGTCCTCACTGCTGCCTGGGCTAAGTTACAACCTCTGCCATATGTGTTGGAAAGCACTGGCCTCTCAGTTACTCCTCTTACTCCTCTTCTCTGTCTGGAGCTAGCAAAAAATAAGGTAGCTGAAGGAAAAAAGGCTCATTTGCCAGTGTCACTCTCCCTCCTGCTTCCCTCAAGTCATGTGAAAAGGAACTTGCCACCTAAACAAAGCACAACATTGAAATCTTCTCTCACTGAAAGTCCTCTGCCAAAGAAATTCAAATTTCCAAAGTGTAGTTTGTTTTGCAAGATTTTCCTCACTTTATTTGGCTTTTTACTGACGAGCAAGACCCATACTGTTAGTGGATCTACTGTGTTTCTGTGGCAGAAGGGGAAAAATGCAGGCAGGAAAGGTCCCCAGTGGACTGCAGGGCCACATGTCTGGTGGTAATCATGATGAATCTCAGCGTTTTCACACTTCCCCTTCTCTCCTGGCTATCATACTCCAGTAAAGCCAGGTCTGGTCATAGATCTATGGAAAAAAAGGACTGATTTTCTTTCCTTCATAACATGGAGACCAATTAAAACTTTAAGGACAGGAGCACAATTGAAGTGGCTACAAGCTATGTAGGTCTTTTGTCTGGGTTGGGTTTGTCTCTAGTAGATTTTCTGAGAAGGGCTGAGAATGTTCAAGATCTGGTCTGTTCTCTATAAAGATGTCTTGAAAATAATTCCAGTGATATTTAGATTAGTATCTCCTGCTGCACCACTAACAGCTTTTAGATAGAAAATAGAAGAATGTTTTAAAATGCTGGGCAAACAGCCAGCTTGTGTCATCATTCAGCTGTGAACAGATTAGCTCAAGAGTCACTGGGAGATGAATCTTAAATATGTTTTTTCCATCCCCATTGGAATGAAGACTGTGCTAAAAACAAAACTAGGTTCAGCTCGCCCTGGAGCAGAGATCTCTTTACAGTTTCTCTGGTGAAAATCTGGAAATTAAATCCTGAACCCACTGATGTCAGTAGGACCAATATTTTACCTCCTCTGTGTTAGAAGTCTTTCCATGATGAAAATTCCTTGGGAGAAGGTGAATACTGTAATTTGTGACACAATTGAAGTAACACCCCTTGGGGAGTGGGGATGTGCTGGCATAAACTTGGCATAAGCACAGCATCAGAGCTCTGTGTGTTTCTAGAGTGGGGTGGGACATCAATGTCAAATCAATTTCAGATGAAATCTTGTGCACTGGGGATGATGCACACAGAAATAGCTTCTCAGTTGTGGACATCTGCCATAAATTTCAGTGTGTCAGTATTATTTCAGAATATGTTCGGAATTGCACAGTTTCACAGAACGTAGAGAACTTCTGGTGAGTCCTGGCCACAAAACCAGCCAAAAAACCCTCCACGAAACACATCTGCTAGCTGAAGATGGTGGGAGTTTTTACCTGACACTTATTCTATAAGCAGCCCACAGATATCTCAATGGGAAATCAATCAATCAATCAATAAACGCCAATGAAATGTTAGAAACAAATAAGTTCAATCCCAGTTTTTATCACACCAGTGTAGATCAGAGACACATTCTGAGAACAGTGAAAGGATAGTTGATGTAATTAGCAATTGTGGCAGTGATGTCAGTTTGAATCCTGACCCCAGGTTCACCCTGCCATGAACCCTATGGCACCTGTGGTTCTCAGGAAAGCTTTAGTACCTTTAGAGTGGCTTGGACAGGCCACAGCCAAGGAGCTGAAGAGCCCTGAGAGCATCCTGAGCTTCTGGCTGTGTAGCAGAGGTGTGTGTGGAAGGAATCTGTCACCAGCGACAATCTCCACTTCTGTCTCACTTGCATACTTCACTCCTTATTTCTCTCCTTCCTTTTTGCTTCCTGCTGCTCCTTCCCTCTGTCCTACTGGAATGTGGAGTGGGTGGGAGGGCAGGCTCCAATTGCTGCTGGGATTCTAAATACAGAAGAAATAATTCACTAGGACTTGAAACAGGGAAAGAAAAAGATGCTGGAGCGATGCAGAGAACTCCTTTAGACAAACTCATAGTAGTGGTAATGTATATAAAAACATTAAAACTTTCAAAAATAATTCTATGAAATATTTTCTAAGAAAGGATTTTGGTTTCATCTTCTATTTTTTTTTAAAGAGGTTACTAAAAAAGGTCAGACTTTTCTAAAATTAACAAAATCCTTCTTTGGCAAACATTTTAGTTCCCATTTCCATGCCAGTTTATTTTTTTCTTTAAAAAATTTTAAAAAAAGAGGAAGAATGGGAAGGAAATAAATGGGGGAAAAGATTTGTTGTTGATTTCCTTTTTGACTTGTTTTCTTTTATTCTGGTGGAAAGATTTAAAACACATTTTAAAAAGAAATAATAGAAATATTTCATTAAAACTTAAAAAGTTTGAGTAAAGCATTTTGGTGAAGATCAGAAAACTAACTATCCCTGCATCCACATTTTACTGCTAATTGCCTATGTTCGATGATCCAGACCAGTTCTCTGGATCTGATCTCTCCTGATTCTGCATCTATTTCTCATTTTTTTACTTTCATTGTTTCTTTTAAAAACAGTTTCAAAGTACAAAACTTCAGAAGCAGCATACAGAAACCTGCAACGTTTTGGTACATCCCTGTTGTTTGGAAAGGTTTCCTGTTAAGGTTTATGACCTTAAAACATCTTATTAGAGAAGAATAAGGAGGTTTACCAAATTCTTGGAAGCAATTTGAGAGTTCTGTTAGGCTCCAAGTGACCATGTAACCCCCTACTCTGTTACTCAGTAGGATGTGTAATGTATTGCTTACTGACACATATATTTCCAGGGAATCCAAAGTAACTGAGCATGTATAACCTATCTCTTAATGATATATAATGTGTTCCTTGCATTTGGTTTGGAAAAGTGTAATTTCAAAAGTCACTACATCATTCTAGACATTGCTACATTGCTCTGTTCTTCTCAAGATGTCTTTTTTTAAGTTATACCCAACACTTCCCACGTACATAGTTTCACTTGCACAGTTTCCCTCCCCTGTCAATTAAAGCTTGTGCACAGACATGCTTTGTGAGTCATATTTCCACAGTAACAGGGAAGACAAAAGTAAGTTTTGGGACCAGGTAACAGAGCTTTTAGCACAGCTATCTTCTGAGACATTTCTATAGTCCATAAAACATTCTCTTTTGATTTTATCCTAAGCACTTTTCATTGCATTTCAGGCAAATCAGTGCCCTGAAAAGCTTTTTTACCTTACTGTGCAACAGATTTAGGATGGCAGAGCACAGCATACTCTTGACTCTTACCCTTATAAGAGGCCTTCCAGACATCTTTAGCTCTTTAGGACACACAAGGATCCTAAGCAAAACCTTGTGGAAAGAAGCACGTGGCTGTTGGCTGTACAGGACAAAGGTCAAGGCACTGCTCAGTCCCTGAGCTGCAGCTTCCATATTACTCTTAAGATCAATAGCTGTGGAAACACAGCTCCTCAGCTCAGTGTTGAACCCCTTGCAGTATGAAAGAGGCTGATCTGCACACCTGTGATGGAGGGGAAGAGCTTTGCATCACTCAACTCATAGACAGCTTTATCATGTTATTTAGTGTCTTTCATCTTGCAAGTCATATTTTCTCTTTCCCCTGGATCATCAGGCTGCTTTGCACAAAATTCTTCCCTTATTCTGAGCTCTGTATTCCTGCCAATTCCAAACCAGCTAGTCCCATGACTAAGATTTCTACCAAGTCTCTTATTTATCCATGTTGGACTGAAGCCCCTTGTGCTCATATGATGCATTTACCACCTCTAAGAGCAGACGTGTTATTGTAACTATCACTTCAGACGTTGAATGTTCTGACTTCTCATACAATTAAAATTTGATGTTATTCTGAATCCAAGCTATTCAAGTAGAATCTCAGCTTGTGAGCAGAGGAACTTGTAGGGAATATATAGTGCCACTTACCTTAGATTTAACTAAATCCAAGTCCGGAGCAGCCACAGAAGAATAGGATGACTGTAAATTAGTTTCTTAGCTTTCTGGTTCTAGTGAAGTGGAGAATAATAGTCTTATGCATAGATTTCCTTCTGCAGTTCCATGTCTATATGATATAAAACTCTTGAACTGTGACAAGATCTGCAAGATTCTTGTTTTCTTAGGTCTTGAATTACTAAGGGTATTACCAGGCCTTGAATTATTAAGGGTAATAATTTATTGGACTAATTCTACTTAGCAAGCTGATAGATTGGAACTGCACTTGTTTTCCTTTGTAAAATACCTAGAATCCTGAGACATTCTGACATAAAAATATTAGGACTAGGGATCCTTCCAGCATTCAAAACAGATGGGATATTTGTAGAGAAAAGGTTTCTAAGTGCAGAGTTTGTTTTTAGGAGCACAATTTAAAATGTAGGTTCCTCAGAGCTGCAAGATATCAGGCTCTGCAGAAGGCTTTCTGTAGTTGTCAGGGGATACAGTTTAATTAATGTGGGAACTAATCTCCCAAAGTGCTGAGCAACTTGAGTTGCTGTATTGTGCATAGTGGTCATTTGTGGCAGATTTTATAAGAATTGAGTAGCTTCTTAAGATTCTTGACAAATGCAACTGGATGAGGTGCATTGGCACCTCTGGATACCTCAATACCTTTAAAAAAGAGTCTGGAGTACCTGCTGTAAATCATTGGCAACTTTCAGTGCTGACTCCTTATGCAATTTTGATGTCACTGCTGGAAGGCATAGCACAGGCTTCTTGCCTGGAGTACTGCCAAACAGGCCTAAATTCAGTGGAGATGAAATGTGTATGTAGGAACAACAATTCCTTTCAAATAGTTTCTTTTGTTGTTTGCTTGTACCTGTTGAGCTTCACTTATCTTACCATGCTGAAGCTGTACTGAACTTGTCTCTGCTGTGCAGCCTCCTAGCTTTGGAGTGTCTCTTCCCTTGCTATCCCTTCCACTTGCTGGATTCAAGCATGCACTGTTCTGAATTGGTGGTGGTGGAATGCCTGCTGCCTGGCACCATGGGGCTGTGATAAAATCTGGCAGGGGGTGTTATTGTTGCCTTCTCTTAGACATTTGACAACTGCATTTATTTTTAAAACAGACAATATTTTGGTCAAAGGTGCTGCAGCCCTTTAAATTGCCAGTGTATGCTACATTCATTCCAGCTTTAACAACTCTTTAGAATGCTAATGGAACATGACAACCTTCTGCTTTGAGGATAATGATGTAAATCCATTTTTATAGTCAGTAGTCAATGAAATTCATCAGTCCCTCAACCTCATTCAGTAATTTGTTGTCGAACAAGCTGGAAGTGCCAGGTCAGTTCTTAACATGTGCATTTCTACATCCTGAAAAATATGTTTGAAAATTACAACTGCAGCAATAAAAAAGCAGAAGGCAGTGATTGGGATGCAGTAGAATCGACATTAGACATAGGAGAGTGGAAGCATGAGCTCCAGGATTTGAATCACCCAATCTGAGTGTAAAATTTTGCAATCCAAAAATGGGGGAATAGCATAAGAATATCAATTGAAAAATTGTGGTGTGATTTTGAACACCAAAAAGAACTTTCAAAATTCACAGACTCAATAAAATTAACAGTTAAGGACAGAAACCATTCACTTGTGATTAGAGGAGTAATTCAGGGAAGCCATATGCAGTCACTTGGGGTAAGAGAATTCCATCATCTGCACACTCCTTGACTGAACCTTGAGGCCCTGATACCATTTAAGAGACTGAACTTCTATGTATTTGATAAAGTGTGTGTTTCACTTAAAATCTAAACATGTGAGATGATTTAACTCTAATCCACAGGTGGGTTGATGCCTATTCCACACCTCTGTGGCCCATGCCCCTTCCTACATTTTGTTCTTTGTGATCTTTTGCAGTGGGAGGCATTTACACTGTGATTCAGACAAAAGCCAAAACTACAGCAGATGAATGGGGTGAAAACTACTTTCTGATTGGGCCCTACTTTGAGCAGAATGTGAAGACTCAGGTGGAAGTCTGTGAGCCTCCAAACCCTGCAGTTAAGAAGGCAATGGACACCATGAAAAGCCAAGGGTGTCAGGTAAATCAGATGTGCTGCTGCTTCCCAGGGCAACAAAGCTGACTCTGAGGAGATTACAGGTGCAGTTAATGCTCTTGCTGTTCCACTTGACACAGCAGTCCTGGTCAATGTCACAATGGGAAAGGCTCAGAATCCACTGTTAGAACAGCAGAGTCAATTCATTAAAGGTTATTTTTGAGGAAGAACCAGTTCATCCAATTACAGGTTTTAACAGTCATTTATCTGCAAGTCTTCTTAATTGGATTAATGACTTATTATCTAGTCTCTAAGTACGGTGAGATTTCAGTAGATACAATATGACCTCACTTTGACTGAGCCCTTGCATTTCACATTCTTTTGGTGGAGAGAGAAGAGTGTTCCACTAGCTCACAATTATTCTTATGTAGCATTATATAGAGCTGAAAGTCAGAAAGGGACCCAACTGACAAAGAATCTGCTTCCTCAGCTCAATGCAACTAGCTGCAGCTCCCTACATAGAGAAGTTAAACCACAGCACAAGGAGTGACTTTGTCTCTGTTTCCAACATGATTTTTAATCAGTGTTTTTTGTGTGATCTCAGTCAAACCTCACAGTCGTTCTGTGACTTCGTTTCTTCAACAATAAACTAGGAATAAGCTTCTTCCTATAAAGATGATCTGTGAAAAGGAATGAAATCTGCTGTGTTGAGGGGCAGCTACTAAACTGCAAGCAGCTGTTGCCTTGGGGACAGCAGATTACCTGAGAGTGGGTGAAAGAAAACATGCTAAATTTGACCTCTCTTCTTGAAAATCCTCATCAGAGATCTAGAACTCACTGGCACTCTGAGTCCCTCAGAGATGTTAGTCTGCAGGAGGAAAAACCATCTGCTTAATTATGTGTGCTGAACAGTTGTGAAAAGCATCAAGAGACAGCAGCAAGGAAACATCCTTACAAGGGTTTATTCTGAGGGGCATGACACACTGTAATGTAGAAACCTGTTCTTGGGCTGCCACCAGCTGTGGCACTGGCAATGTGTTATCTCCCTTTGGAACAGCAGCTCTGCTGTTATTAGCATCTAATGCCCTGTGGCACATTATGCAGATGTGTATTGTTGGATGTATATGTGCCACAGCTTGGCAAAGTGTCTGTTGGGGACACTAACATGCTGATTTCATTGTTCAGGCTCAGGTTCAAACAGAAAGCTCTAATCTAACCACCACAGCTTATTTCTGTCAGATTTTCGTACATGTTTGATCAAGTTTTCCATGTTGTCTCTTGCTTATCAAGAGATGCCCCTGCAAGCTGTGCAACACCCCTTGGTTTGGGAAACAGCTAAAGACTTGTGCAGCAGATTAATTGCAATGATATAGATACATTTCATGCTGTTCCAGTAATACATACAATTTAATCAGGCAACCCTGCCAGCCTAACAAGTGCATTGTGCTGTTAGAGTCTTCATATGCAGCAACAAATCTGTCCCAGGTACATCAGGTATAGCTTTGATCTCTAATAATGACGCTCCAGCTTCCAAGAGCTGAGCTTATCCTATTAACATTTATGTCTGGATTTTGCCTATGCATCACAATGGATGCTTTTAAACCAGGGGGCCTAGGAATGCTTCCAAACTTCTCAGGTCAGGTGTGTTCCTTGCCACAACCTGACTATGCATTTGGGTGAAGTCTGGGTTCACACAAACTCCCTGCTTTTATTTTCCTGAGTAACAAATCCAGATAGCCTGAAATAAATGCATGGGCAAAAAGGAGCAAACCTGGCTTTGTTACACCCTGTATTTTTTTGTGCAAACAAGCCTAAGAATTTTCAACTTGTTTGTTTTCAAGACCTGACCTCTGTTCAGTCCATGGTAGCATCAGGGCTGGGTTCAATCTCTGAGGTCCCAGCTATGTTGATGGTAGAATTAATGTGAAATAATTTGACTATGCAGACTGGTACAATCTGTAGTGTGTGCCCAGCTCTGTGGTGTTGCCTTATGACACTTCAGCCTACTCTCCTGGTCAGGCAGGTAGGTTAAGGCAGTGATGTTCTAAATACTCTTAGAGATGTTTATACTGATGCAGACAAAGCAGGGAAGCTGTATTTTGAGGCTGATATAGTTTTAGGTATTGGCACACCTTCTCCTTGATCCTTCCACTTTGCCAAATGGGTAGAGTGGAATCCTTGTACTCTGTGTTGCTTGGGAAGAATGAGGAGTTGTCATGGTAGATACAGACCCCAAGCACCTGTGCTACAAAATCTCTCACCACTAATCTGGCATGAATGACAGAAAACTGGGGAAAAATCTGACTGAAAGAAAATATTTATGAAATAAGAACAAAAATGTCATAGATTCTTCAATAACAGCATAAAATCTCATTATCCAACCGAGTGCACTCTTCCTAAGCTTTTTTTCCTGAAAAAAGTTAATATTGCAATGAAGATATAAAATGAAAGTCTTAAAAATAAAATGTTCCTAAAGATTGTAGTTTCCTTTGTTCCAGTATTAGTCCATGTATTTTACAAGGAAAACCACAAGTCCTGAGTGTGTAGGACTATGATAATAGATTCCTTGTGTAAAATACTTCAGATTTGATGGATGAAAATAGTTGTGCTCACTGCCCTTTACATTCACTTTAACATTTTCTGCTTGTGTCCTTGCCTCTTTTCCATAGGTATTTTTTGGAAGATGGCTGATAGAGGGCAGCCCATATGTCTTACTGTTTGATATAGGATCAGCAGCTTGGAATCTGGACAAGTGGAAAGGTGAATTTTGGGATGTCAGCAACATAGGGATCCCTTTTCATGACCGAGAAGCCAACGATGCTGTGCTTTTTGGATCATTAACAGCCTGGTTTTTAAAAGAGGTACAGTTTTTAAGTCTAGTGATTTTCAAACCTCAGTCTTTTCAGCAGAGCAAAACACTTTGACATGTGGTTCCTATTCTTCAGTTTGAAAACTATGATTGTAAGGAATTTGATCTTGATGTTGATCAAGTTTGTGTTTTAAACTTAAATGTTAAGTGGTCACTTAACTGTATTTTCCAGGAGCAGGGCAGGGGGGCTGCCCTATGTGATTGATGCTGTCTTTACTGTCACTTCCCCCTCTGTTTCTTCTCAACTCCCTTATTTGTCACTGGATGCTCTTACAAGTAGTATCTCAAACTCCCTTTTTCTCTCCTATGGAAGTCAAAGTGTGATACTGACAAACTGTCCTTGAAGCCAGACAAGCTATGTCTCAGCAATTAGATATTACCTTGCACAGGGAATATAGATGGACAGAAAGAATTAATGGTGGCATTGTGACTTCAAATGTCACTCTGCCACAGCTTACCTAAAGAGAAATTTAGTTCATCTGCAGTATCATCTGTCTGTTTTTCTTATCCACATGAGCTTCAACAGCAGAAGAACAAGTTAAAGGATATAAGACTGATTGTGCTTGCTAGAGCTCCCTGATATTCTAGAAAGGAGACTCTTCTGAGGCACTAGTGAGCCCCATGTGCTTCTTGGGCTAAGGATTAGGGGTGATGGGAATGAAGGCACATGACCACTTAAAATGTTGTACTGTTTTGTAACAAGAAAGAAAGTAAACACACACCAGGTGTCATGGGAAAAAAGAGGTTTCTAGGGCTGGGATGATGGAGAAGATAATGTATGTTTCATTTATGTTCTTTCTATTTTCAGCTTTCCTGTCAGTTTGAAGACAAGCCCAATATAATTGCTCACTTCCACGAATGGCAGGCAGGAGTGGGTTTAATACTGTCTCGATCTCAAAAACTTCCTGTAGCCACAATTTTTACTACCCATGCAACTCTGCTTGGGAGATACCTGTGTGCAGCCAGTATAGATTTTTACAACAATCTTGACCGGGTAAGAGATGTTTTTATCATTCCTTCCCTTTTTTTCAGCTAACCAGCTCCTGACCCCTTTTCTGCTCACTGTGCTATATATATATATATTTTCTGTTTATGTTATCATTCATGATTGAACCACAGCTGAGTGATAAGTTGTCGGTTCCAGAGCAAAACAAATGGTATTTGTAAGACCGTGAGGTGCCCAGGCATGAGTACCTTTTCTCTGTGTCATCCTACAGGTCTTAAAGCTCAGTGGAGACTAGAATACTTACACTACCTTCAGTGAGCTTTGATTTACCAGATTTGTACTACAGAGTGCTGAAACTCATTCAACCTCCAGCCAAGTCAGTGCCTGAGTCCAATCCACTGACAGATGGAGTAATACTGCAGCAGTGTGGAATTGCCAACAGAGATTCCTAACCTTCTTTTCAATGATTTGGGACATTTTAGAAAGCAAGGGTAGAGTTGGGGCCAAGAAATCCTTGTAAGTCAGGTGTCCGTGAGAATCTTCCCCTCTGTGGTCAGGAAAGGCATCCATTGCTTGAGGTGGTTTGGGAGTTACTGTTAGCAGCATGAGTAACCAGGGAATGTAAACCCTATTGAGCTGTAGTCATCATCTGGCCCTTCAGGTACAGCCTCACAACACTTAATGAAAGACAGGAGAAAAAGTAACCACTGGTCCTCCTCTTGTGGAGGAATTGCATTAAATGGTGTTTTCGTTTTTTATCTTTCCCCAGCCTACTTCTTAATTCTTGCAAGACACACTAAGTTCCTTCTAATTTCAAGCATTTCAGGTTAGTCTTAATTTGTAACTGGCAAATGTAGGAAGTATTCTCTGATTTCAAAAGACCCACATTTGTTTCTTGGAATTTTTGTAACCCGTCGAGTGGTTTTGGTTTTCACTGTTCTCTTTCCACTCAAAGCATAACACAAACCAATGTTTCAAGCACCCAAATGTCTTAGCACTGCCTTCAGCACAGGTACATTGCATGAGATGGGATTTCTGATATGGTTACAGACAAACTTGTGTTCACCAGATTTTTGCATTCCAGCACTTATTGAGGGTAAAGGTAAAGTTAAAAGGCTAAAACAACTGCTTATTCACTGCCCATACATTTCCTTGGCTGAAATCAGTGAAGAAAATTACTCAGTTGGCAATTTTCAGTTGCATGTTGGAAACTTGGCACACTGTGGAACAGTGTCTTCCAAAGATAAGACCTAAGCAGGAGTGCTACTGGCCTTACTCAGAAACACAGAATCATAGAATCACAGTCTGGTTTGAGTTGGAAGGACCTTAAAGATCATCTAGTTCCAACCCTCCTGCTGTGGGCAGAGACACCTCCCACTACACCAGCTTGCTCAGAGCACCATCCAACCTGGTCTGGAACACTGCCAGGGATGGAGCAGCCACAGCTTCTCTGGGCAACCTGTGCCAGTGTCTCATCACCCTCACAGGAAAGAATTTTTTCCTAAAATCCAATCTAAACTTCCTCTCTATAAGTTTGAAGTCATTCCCCCTTGTCCTGTCACGCCAGGCTCTTGTCAATACTCTCTCTCTCTTTCCTTCAGGTACTGGAAAGCCACAATTAGGTCATCCTGAAGGCTTCTCTTCTCTAGGCTGTACAATCCCAATTCTCTTAGCCCTTCCTAGATTGCCATTGCCTCTTTTTTGGTTTTTATTTTATTTTCCTTTCCCAACACAGACAGCTACTGAACATAGTTTGTCTCCACTCATTTGCTCTCATGCACAAAGCTTGCAGCATGGTAGTGTGTAGGGGGAATTCTGTCTGCGCTGTGTGCGGTAACTACCCTAGGTTGTCACTCTTCCCAGGCTCCCTCTGTCACCAGTAGAGTTACACTGACCTCTCCACATTCAGTGTAAGGCAGATATCCTCAGATTTCCTTCTGACTGATCTCTCTCCATCTAGCACATACTAGAACTAGTCTCCTAAGGTAGATATGTTTGTTAGGTGCATTAATGAGGCAGCATAATGACCCAGTCA